AATGACAAGACAGTACCTCCGAAGATATAATATGCCTGCTCCACTTCAGCTTTCCGGTTAACACGCAAGAAGAGCAGAGACTGAGGCAAACCTGTGGTTTCCATGGTCTAGCGCGTATACAATTTACTCATATGCGTATGTCAATCATTTCATTTTAAGTCATGTTCTTAAAATTTTAAGCTATTTATGATCATTATCATACAAATTATGTTTCAGGGTTGTCTAGACAATCAAAGAAACCGCGTTGAGGCATGTAGGAGTCATAAGTCAATGAAATATAAAACGGCAGTTCTCTCAAAACCTCTAACCGACCGGTATTCCCACGGAATTTAGAAACCTATACATTATAGATTTTCAACAGAACCTGTCATCAATTTATTGAACAAAAAGAGTTGTAAATAACTGGTAAACTCATTTACTCCCCAAAATTGGTTGAATGATCAAAATGGGTCCAATTAATTTACATGTAAATACGAATCATAAGGTTAAAACGTTTCAAAATCCTTACTATACTGCTAATGACCTTAGTATTGCCTAATGGTTCTAGGCCTATTTTGTTTTAAGGCCCAGGGCCCATGTGGGGACGCACGCAGCCTAGGGTCTCATCGCGTGCACGCATCCCAGAGCCTGGGCGCATACCCTATAAGCCCACATGACGGCGTGTAGGGTCCCCAACGGATTTGATTATAAGCAGCAGTTGTCAAAAACGAATTACATTAATTGTTCATCAATTTAAAATATGCTCGGTTTGTCCTTATATAAACTCGCCAATTGAAAACAACCAACCATAGTCGTACATACTGGTGTTTACAACATACTATATGGGGTAACAGTCGTTATGGAAATGTTTGTTCAAGAATAGAAATCGAATAATTAAAAAAATATATATTTTTATAGTTACAGCAGAACACCTTGGAGCTCTGCGGCTGACGAACTCTATTGTACGTCTACACAAATCACGACCGAATCACACTACAGTATATTAGATTATGTGTTACTTTATTGTGTATTGTATTAAGGGCAGTGGTCAAGAGTGGGCGGGTACACATATTTAATTCTTAGACCAGTAGACAATTTTTTTTTCATAGTTGCAGCAGAACACATTGGATCTCTGCGGCTGACGCTCTTAAAACTGCGGTGGTTAGAGCGCAATTGTACGTCTACCCACTCTTTACAGACTACTACTACTAGGGCCTACTTCCTGGAGGAAGTCGTCTTTACCTCCTGAACTTGAATCAGGCCGGGGGTAAACCGCATTAAGGACTGAAACAGAGATCTTCGTCACTAGTTACATACCTCCACGATTATTGTTTTATCTCTATAAACATTATATAGTAATTAAGCCTATTACTAATTAATATTTAGAAAACAACGAATTCTAAGTGTCACGGTTAATGCAACGTGTGGCTAACGAACCGATGATTTACATAGCCCTGGGTGTTATTTTTGTCACAAAGCGCTGAACACCCAAGTCAATGCCGCTGTCATTCAAGTTTAATCTTCCCAGAAAAGCGTTAAGATTTTTTTTACAGTCAATTTCCGTGTCATTGTATTAGATTGTTAGTATCAGCCAACAAGTTTAAAAACGTGTTGACTTTTTCGTTTTGACTTTGTGCTTAAATTTTCTTGACTGGACTCGTCAGCCGGGTCGTCTGTGTATGGTCTAGCCTAGGATCTATTGTCATTGTCACCCGAGCTATTGTAATACCAATACTTCCTGTGACATTGGTAAATATACTTACGTTCTAGTTTTGAAGAAGAGTCTTTGTGATTTGAAAAGTCTGTTTTCACATCATCCGATGCTACATTCATGGTTCTGTGATTTTTGTGTTTCTGAAAATATTAAACATAAGATAAAAATAAAATATAAATAAGCAAATAGGGTACAGCACTGTTTAGGGTAGCATGAGAAATCATCATGAGAAGATAAATGTACGTAAAATAGGCTATAACTAAGTATGCATTACACATAAAGATATATGCAAGTGTTGTTAGCATGAAGTATTCTGAAGTCCGAACTTTTTTGCACCTGAGCCAACTGAATACCTATATGTAAAGGATGCAATTTATATTGTATATAAAAAAAGACTGCAAAAAGTCTCTTCATAAATATACCGTATTGTAATTGTTTTTAAAAGATAATCTAAACGATGCGAGGTGAAAAAACGTCGATTTTAGCAGGAACGAGTATGATAGAGGGCGCTAAAATATAAATAACTGATTTATATAGGCCTACATCATGCTAATTAAGACGTAATTTTTAAAAATTCTAAATCTACATACATGGTATCGATCAATTATAAAGCGTATTATCAGGAAAACGACTGGAAGACAAATTTGTATCTATAAAAGGAAAGAAAATATGCTAATTAAACAGATGGAAATGCATTATTAAATACTATAAAATAAATATAATTATAATATAATTTTCCGCCTTCAGGTTACATGTTTTGGTAAGGTACTTGATTGTGTGAATAGATTTTCAAAGTCAAGATCTACAAATGACTGTTAAATACGCGATCCTGTACTGCGCTAATGTGCATGCGCAATCGATAATACAGGCGGCACATAGGCCTACACAAGTTCAAATCGAGAAACTCATGCTTAATCCAGGGACACAGCCCCGCACGCGAGACCTACTTCTGTTACCTTGCAACAGCTTAAATCAATTGCTAAAACATCGGAATTGCCATGCATTCCGGATTATTCTAAATTTGGTCAATTGTTTCACTATATAATTTAATTTAAAGTAAATCAAAAGTGTAAGAGATTGGAATTATTTGGACAAATACAAATGACTCGTATTTACTATTTCAAATATAACCGCACTGAAGATCCCACGCTGAAAGCCGCATAAAAAGGTTATTAGACTGAAAAATAAGAGAGAGAATTATAGTTTAGTGTATGAATTCAAAATATATTTTACTGTAAGCATATAAACAATTTATCTTTGTCATTTAATTTAGAATTCGTTCCATTACTTCCACAGATATTCTAACTATCTACAGATATTCATACTTTGTTTTGCTCAATCATTTCCCAGCTTGGCATATGCAAGGCATAAAATATTGGAATTATTTTCACTTATAAAAGAGTGTAATGCAATGCGTGTAATCAAATGCCATAAAAGCCATACTATTAAACAGGCTTCGCATTATAAAGTTGAGAACTGCTGTGGTTGTTCTTTTTAAATGTAAATAATTATT